TTTTTTGAATAATCGAAATCGGTTGAACCGTGTTCCCGAAATTGTCGACGAAAATTTGTATCCGCACACACACATACATCCATTTTTTCTAAGGTATGCCAAAATGTTCAGAAACCTCTGAAACGTAAAGATATATAAAAATTTTACGATTACTATAACTCACCCTACAGGAAGTTAACAATAACTTTCATTAATTTCAATATTATTTACTCATGCAATTATACATATGAAATGAAAACGCGAACATAGCCGCAATATTTAGGATGATGTGGCCTTAACCAGTAGGCCACGCTGCTACACTCACTAGATAGCAGTTTTCATAGGACTCTAATATTTTACCCTGTCAGTTCGGTTCCATCAAAATTCCAGACGAGCAATGCACAGGTTCTCCTTATGAGTAAAATTCCGCCCAGACGTAATAAAATACAAATGTCGTTTTTATTTTTATTTCAGACAGCCAGACGGTATTATTATTATTATTATTATAGTTATTATTCTCAAAACTATCTTATCTTATAGTTTCTGACTTTGTAGTCTCGGACAATTGTCCTGTTGAAAAAAAAGTGCGCAAACACAGGTGTAAAAATTTATGAATTCCGTATGCAAATATAGAGAATCGAACAGATAAAAAAAATAACAAGTCGCACATTTTATTGTGAGAAAAAAATAGTGGGGAAGCAAGTGGGAAAAATCATAGTAAATCTAATGAAATCATAAAAAGAAATGAAAAAAGAAAATGAAATCAAATAAAAATAGTAACGAACTATATTTGTTGAGTATTTTCATTTAAAGAAACATAATGGTGTCTATTTTTAGTAACAAATATATTTAGTAATTACAGTAGAATCCGATTAGTATGACGCCGGATATATTGACAATCGCTTAATATGACGTAATTGCACTAGGAATTTGGTTTCCATATAAAATTCCTTAAAAAAACAGCAGTCTATTCGGATATATTGACATCGCTTACATTGACATGTCGCTTATAATGACCCATTTTTGCAAAAAAATATGTCCAATTATAATGACCGACATGATTTTACATGATGTGGCCAAGTCTACGAAAGCAATTGCTATGTCTTTTGTGCACAATAGCACCAGGGACTGTTTTTACAATAAAATTATGTAAAGAAATCAATCAAAAATTACTGATTACTTGCATTAAAAAAACACATTTGTATGTTTATGGGTAAGGTAGACTAATTATTAATGGCCCACCACGGATATCTCATAAACAAATAAAATTATTTTTTTAACAATTATATTTGATAGTAGAGGGTGAAAAATGTATAAATTCATAACCAGCCATCACCTTTATTTTTATGACTTCGCAATCAGAAGATAAGCAGCACATGAATGCGATAAAAAGGACCAGCAGATCAATGTAATAACCATTTCCGACCAATAGCAGATCAATGTAATATACTGTGTTGTCTTTGTAACAAATGTACCCACAGAATTAACATTTCGCATTGGTTCAATAATGTAGCGTAAAATGCCTTTAAAATTTATAGAAGAAATTGCATCTGTTTGCCCCCTGGTTGTTCCACATTACCCCGTATGTGAGGTAAAATGGGTCAGATACCAAATGTTTAAAAAATAGTAAAAAATACAATATTTATATAATTAGGAATTATGTACGTATGTATGTAAGTTTTTCTGAACATAGATCGATAGATGCTTCTTTGATGTATGTTATGTGTTGTTCATTGGGTTTAGAAGGTATAATTACCGTAAGTCAAATTGGACCGTTGTGCTTCGCCCTACCCTATGTCAATTTTATTTTATATTAAATTTTAATGTGTTATTTTTATTTTTAATTAAAACGTTTGTATAGGCTTTTCTGGACAGTTAAGTATTACTAAAACATGTAACATATTTGCATATTAAAAAGTTTTTCTTCAGTACGCTTTTAATGACGACCGGTTAGTATGACGAAATTTCGGCGTCCCTTCGATGTTATACTAAGCGGATTCTACTGTATATATATATATATATATATATATATATATATATATCTAGCTGACCCGGCAAACGTTGTTTTGCCATCAAAAATATGTTGCCCCTTTGCAGTGAAAATTATAGTTATTATTTGAACAACAACAACATGGATCAACCTGGATCAATACTATTGATAAAAATTTCCTTAAAATGTATATTAATAAAAAAATTAAACGATAAATTAAAGTTTAGAAAAAATTTATGAAAGTTATTATAAGTAATCAAGCGATGCTTTTACTTATAATGTATTCGATTTAAGTTGATTGTGAAGATTTTCTATTAGTATCTTTTTTTTCAATTTTTAACCAGTGATATATATATATATATATATATAAATATATATATATATTATATATATATATATATATATATAGATATATATATTTAAATATTACAAAGAAATTACAAATTACAAAGAATTATAATATATAATATTCTAAACAAATTTACTATTAATTTAAAAAACCACCACCTATAAACTTTCAACATATATATATTTCATAAATACCATTATGCAAACATACAATTGACTGCATAATATTTTTCTAAACTTGAATATTACGGTATATAAAAATATATACGATATGATTAATTTATTATATTACATACATTATGCTTACTTATTTATGCATACATTATTCTAATTTCAATTATTTACTTGTTTCATATAGCTGTATCACATATTCCCATTCCATTATTATTACTCAATAATGAATGCTTTTATAAATCTAGCTTAAAACTAATTGATGCACAATATTTTGGACCAAATCTTCTTTGGTCAACATATAATTACCTGTGCAAAAAACATTGATTTTCTAATTCAAGTCCAAAAACGGGCATTGTTTGTCCCTGAGCCTTGGTGATAGTCATCGCAAATACTGTTACCTCTTAAATGGTATCGTGCAATCTGATGGTATCGAAGAAATTCATTCGAAAATAATCACTTCTTATTTAAAACTTTCTTGCAGCACATGGCTTCTTTTTTATTTCTAAAGTTCATTGCCTGAAAATATTGGAGCATGTTTTTGTCTTCGTCAAAATTGGGCTGTAATATTAACACAATGTGTTGCAGGCTGTAATATTAGCTCATTTTATTCATTGTAGTTTCCTGCTTGATGAATTCACTATGAAACACTTCTATGTTTTAATACTTACATGGTTATTTTTCAATAGACTCAATAGTGCACCATCAATACAATTAACTTAATTAATAATAGTCAGAACCAACTGCACGTTAATCATCCATAGATAATATCCATTTGAATATTTGAATATTTGAATATTTGAATATTTGAATTTTACCACTGTGCTTTATTAGATTTAGTTGTTATTAGAGTTAGTTACTGTTAGCACACTATAGGCGGGCCCCGTAAAATTACGCTCTGCGAGGACTGTTGCTTATCGGCGGGCAAGGTATTATTACGCTTTGAATAGACTAACTTTAAAAGCGAGTCAAAATACTTTTATCTGATCGGTTTGCATATGATATTGAAAGAATAGCTCATACTTTTCTCTAGATTCAATTGATTTACGTATTGAAAGACTTTTAGAATAAGAATAAGGATAAGAAACAATATGTTTTATCTTCAAGTTTCTTTCATTCAAGCTACTCGCAATTTGTTTTGTAGATAAATATGCAGAATTTACAACAATAAAAGGGTTCAATATATATTTTATAATCAAATATTTTAGTTATTAGTCAGATTTGTATAGTTCAACTCTTTTTTACATTGTTATTTGCAATAATGAAATAATGGCATCGGATAGCGATAGTAAAGTTTGCGCCAATATTTTATCACAAATTGGAAGTGATTTTGATATTACTGATTTTGGTAGTGTATGTGGATGAAGATTTTTTTTATCCTAGAAGACGTAGAGTTTTACCGATTATTTCCAGAGATTCTGAAAATAATGAAAATGAAGAAGTGGAGTGGTCAGAATTTGACAATCTCCAATTATTGAATCATTTTAGGTCAAAGTTGCGTTGTTTGT